TGCTATCCCCTATTCCCAATTCCTTCGCCTCCGCCGCATCTGCTCCCAGGATGAGGCATTCCACTCCCGTACATCTCAGCTGTCCTCGTTTTTCAAGGACCGTAACTTCCCCTCCTCGGTGGTCGAGAACGCCCTCAACCGTGTCTCCCACATCTCCCGCACCTCATCCCTCACACCCCGTCCACGCAATAAAAACCAAAAAAGAATCCCCCTCGTCCTCACGTACCACCCCACCAACCTCCGGATCCAATGCATCATCCTCCGACACTTCCGCCATCTGCAATCCAACCCCACCACCAAAGACATCTTTCCCTCCCCACCTTTATCTGCTTTCCGGAGGGACAACTCTCTCCGTGACTCCCTTGTCCGCTCCACACTCCCCTCCAGCTCCACCACACCCGGCACTTTTCCCTGCAACCGCAGGAAGTGCTACACCTGCCCCCATACCTCCTCCCTCACCCCCATCCCAGGCCCCAAGAAGACTTTCCACATCAAGCAGATGTTCACCTGCACATCTGCCAATGTGGTATACTGCATCCGCTGTACCCGGTGTGGCTTCCTCTACATCGGGGAAACCAAGCGGAGACTCGGGGACCGCTTTGCAGAACACCTACGCTCGGTTCGCAACAAACAACTGCACCTCCCAGTCGCGAACCATTTCAACTCCCCCTCCCATTCCTCAGACGACATGTCCATCCTGGGCCTCCTGCAGTGCCACAACGATGCCACCCGAAGGTTGCAGGAACAGCAACTCATATTCCGCTTGGGAACCCTGCAGCCCAATGGTATCAATGTGGATTTCACAAGTTTCAAAATCTCCCCTCCCCCCACCGCATCCCAAAACCAGTCCAGCTCGTCCCTGCCTCCCTAACCTGTTCTTCCTCCCACCTATCCCCTCCTCCCACCTCAAGCCGCACCTCCATCTCCTACCGACCAACCTCATCCCGCCCCCTTGACCTGTCCGTCCTCCCTGGACTGACCTATCCCCTTCCTAACTCCCTACCTACACTCACCTTTCCTGGCCCCATCCCCGCCTCTTCGACCTGTTTGTTTCCTCTCCACCTATCCTCTCCTCTATCCCTCTTCTATCCGCCTCCCACTCTCTCCCTATTTATTTCAAAACCCCCTTCCCCTCCCCCTTTTCTGATGAAGGGTCCAGGCCCGAAACGTCAGCCTCTCTGCTCCTATGATGCTGCTTGGCCTGCTGTGTTCATCCAGCCCTGCACCTTGTTGTCTCATACTGTGCCCTGTTCAGTCTGAAATTGGTACTCTGGATCTTCCGTAAATTTAATTTTAAATGGTTCTGTTGCTTGACTCGAGCTGCAGTGGTGCTCAACAACAGTTTTGGAAAGCAGCACCAAATTCAGGATTTGGGTATAAGTTATCACTGAGAATTTTGGAGGGGTAACTGCCCTGTCTTCACTGGAAAGAAGGTCTGAAAAATCCTCCTTTTTAGAGACTTTATTAGTAGAGCTTAGGCAGAATTTGGAAAAAATAAATCCACTCACTAATTCACATTATAACACATGCCAATAAACTCGTGTGAATAGATGAAAAGGCTAAGAATGGGGAATGGTGTGTATTAGTCTTGTACCATCCCCTCCCTTTAATAAATCCACTTCAATGTTAGTAAATATGGGCTGGTCAATAAAAGCAGATTTTTTTACCCCTTTGCTGTCACTTGGAAGCTGGGGGCATTCGATCAAGGTCTCACCAATTGATGAGAAATTAAAGATCTGTCAGTTAGATTTCGTGAAGTCAGTGGAGGAATTCTTGAGAGCATCAGACCTGACTTCCAATCAGTAACAGAGCAAAGGGCTCTCCTTTGCTTCTTAATCTGTCATAATTCCCAAAATGCTGCCCAGATTTTATATGTCCATGTTTTGTTAAAATAAAACACAACCCTGTTGTTAGCGATGTATTTTCTCTGCTCTAGCACTGTCATATTTGGTTGCCATTAGCATGTCAGCATAATGATGAATATTCCTATCAACTGTTGTTCTACTCGTTAATTTCCAATGGGAAAGTGGGTGGCAAAATCTAAATACTAATGGTCAAATGCTGGGCAAGTAAATGTTTATTGACGTGAATAACTAAAAAGAGTGTGGGCTGTAGAATCATTCATTCTTTCCGAGGGAGTGAGAAAGGAAAATAATTTCAATGTACTGGTTCAACACAGGTTTAGAACTCTTCGCAGATACAAATAAGGACTGTTATAGTGTTCTAAGGAAGTTTGAAAGGTTTGCACAGGTTGTATAGTTTAAATTAGAGTATCCAGACCTGCATTTCTTTGCTGATCCTTGTCTTTCAAGTTGCAAGTACACAGCTTGGCTTTGGCAGTCAGTGGTGAAAATAAGAGTACTTGTTGTTGATCTCGAAGAGAGTTGTGCAGCGAATAGCTGATCGCAACTTTGGGATTTCCATCTTCATTTCTGCATGCAATAAATCCAGAAATAATCAGTGTGGTAACAGTGGTGAATACTGATAGTTCATGTGAAACCCCTGCAAATTCTGAACATAGCCTTGGATATCTAAAATTAGAAAGATTATAATGAGCCATCCATTGCTTTTTGATTTTTGCAGGAGTTGAGCAATTTACCTAATGGAACTTTCAATTTTAATATGTCATTGAAGTACAGAATAATAAAGCATATGTAAAATATTCTCTTTCAATAAGTGCTAGAAATGTATTTGAGTTGTTATTGGATAATGAAAGTGTAAAGAATGTTTTTATCTAGTTCTAGTAAGCTTATCAATTCTGCATTAATATATATGAAGTAGTAATTTAAAATGAATGTGTTTAAAATATTTGGAACGTGAGCATTCAGAGTTTTGACCAACTTTATTGGATAGCAAGGAGGGAGTTTTCAATCCACCAAATGGGATTTTCAGCTAGTCTTATTTCTTGCTTTCTGATCTCTTATTTTCCTGAGTGGTTTTCCCCTGGGTTTATGCTGTCATAAAACAGTGTCATACGGGGTTTCTGTTTTGATAAGTTTGTGCTAAATAAGATATGGGTAAATTATAATTCAATATATTCCTTCAGATCCTGTTGCGCATAGTTATATTGTAATGTGAATACCATTATTTCCCAGTAATCGTTTTGACTATCAGTCTCTGCATTCATAATGGGTATGCCACAATTGCTGTTTCTTCAGTATGGATGTTCATCATGGATCACAGGGCATGCTGACTATTGTTGATCGGTACTATGGCAGACATTGAGAAACTTGAACCAAGGAAGGAAAGGGACAAAACCCCTTCAATCTGTAAATTGCATAAAATAAAATCTAATGCTTTTAAGGCAGTGATACTATCTCAAAGTTCTGAGAAATATTCGATTTCTGAAAATAATTAGAATGGGTTATTTCTGTTCTCATGTATAAAGTGCTAGCTCTATATAAAATATAAATTCCTATCACAGCTGTTGTAGTGACTGCAGTCCTATAATCACTCCAAGGTATCTATTATTTCTGTTAAAGGATTTGGGAACATTCTGATTTATTCCAATAATCTTATATTCATTTTAATTCTGCACTTTATTTATGCAAATTGCCAGTTGAGGTTGAGATGAGATATGTGAAATACAATGTGCTATGTTTTTATTAATGCTGTGCTGACTGAGATGACATGGTCTGTAAAACTCCTGTGTTTTGGGCTGTCAACTCAGAGACCTGGGGCCTAATTTTATCTCAGGGGCTCGGTAGGGGAATTTTGCAGCTGCAATACCTGCAAGGATACACTGGCAGGAACTGAGTACTGTTTGTTTTGCCCCTCTTTTATGGCATATATGCTTTCTACATCAAACCACAGTCAAGGAGCAGAAAGGAGGGATGGAAGGATGAGAGTCCAGATGGAAGATTTGAATGTGTGGGGAACATCAGAAGGGTCAGGAGCAGTGCTTCATTTAAGCTGTGCAGGTGTGCAGCCATGTAGTAACTTGGAACGTGCTATGCAGGGAACAAGTGATGCGCAAGTCATTATTCTTAATGGTGTGCTTGTATCAATCATAGAAAGCATGCGGCGCAACAGACTGCGGCACGCGCACATCTGGCTGTGCATCCAGTGAAGAGAAATTGGAGGGATCAGTTGGGTTGTGAGATGAATATCTGGGGAAGGTTGGAATAGTTGAATTAGGGTGCTCAATTGCAAACAGTGGGTGAAGCGGGTAAACTGTTGCAGCAGGTGAGTGCAACATTTACAGCAAGCAAGTCCTCACCTGCCTTTACCAGTCTGATTTCCTGGAACCAGCTAGGGTTAACTCTTCTTAAAAAAAACTGGTCAATTCTGAGGCACACAGCCTCATATGACCCGACCACACAACTGGCAAGCAGTTTGTTTCTCCAGCTCTTTTAAAATTGGAAATGGGCAGGTTGAATTTTATGTATTTAACATTTTTACATCCCCTTTTGATGTTGTCCCTCAGGTTGGTTTGTTCTACATGGTGAATCTGCGACGCGTAGCCCTGTTATTTTGGGTGCGATTGGAAAAATAGGGTGGGGAGGGATCCATTCTTTCAGCTATTTGATTTCCTGCTGCTTGCCTCTATTCGTCTCAAAGAATGAAATGATACAAATAATTTAAAATGATTGGAAGCGCATATGGAACAAATTAGCTGGAATATCAAAATGAATATTTAATGATTAAAATGTTTTAGTATTTGAATACTCCAAAGAGATTGGATTTTCAAAACATTGAAAACTTCTCAAACTTCTCACTTTAATAATATGGTGAAAAACATAATGATGTCTAGTTATATGTCATTTAAACCAAAGATTACAGTATCACTTTTTGTTTGGTGAGAATCCCGCATCTCTCAATAATTCATTGCATTGGCATTTAAATGGAATATCTTGCGATGCACAATGTTTGATTTCCGAAAAATAATTTGGACAATATTTTTGTTCCTGTTTATCCTTTTGTGTGCACTATCAGTTTTTAACCTTAACCGTACACAGATTTACTATCATTTTAAGACTCTTAAATTCTTCTCTACCTAGGTCTAACAGATGAAGAAGTTGAGATAGCTCTACAGCAGTCGAACACTGCTACTGATGAAGTATTTGCGCCTGTCTCCCAACAGCACTTGGTGCAACCATCACAACTCGCTGTGCCAAACAGTATGTATTCTCAGATAGATTGATGGTCAAACTGGTCTACCGTGGGAATGAGTGGAGCATGCATTTGTCCAGTCTGAATATAGGATTAGATGTGGTTTTGTTATGGTTTACATATTAAAATCCAGGCTCTGTTTCAACGTGTGATATCTGACAAACAAATTTAATTTTAACAGCTTATATTTACATAATGATGGGTGACTGTGATACAGACAAAAATAGAATAAGTTGAGGAAATCACCAGGTATTTTGTAGAGAAAAAGTTGTACTGGAAGACATTGATCAGCACTCACCATGAGCATCATCACTGGTATTACATAGTATGTGTATTCAGATTGGAAATTCAAGAATTGTTTCAGCGCTATGTGAAAGCTGAAATCTTTGATGTTCAGGTAGACTGAAATTTTCTTCACCTGCCAACAGTTTATGTCTGCTGGACAGCATTGGCTTACAGTTAAGTGTTGATTTTAAGATTATCGTTCTTGTTTTCAGATCCTTTCCCAGTTTGCCTCTCCCTACTACTGTAGTCTCCTCCAGTTTTACAACTATCCAAGGTATTGCACTCCTCCAATTCTGGGCTCTTTCTTCCTGCCCCCAACCCCTCCCCACCAATTTAACCATTTGTGGCCTGAAGGCCTGGAATTTCCTCCTGACATCTGTCTGCCTTCCTATCTCCCTTTCTTCCTTTAAGATACACTTTGACCAAGCTTTTGGTCATTTGTCTGAACATCAAATTGTGTTCAATAACGTTACTGTGAAGTGCTTGGAGATGTTTTTATTATCTTAAAGAGATTATGTAAATACAAGTGTTACTCATGTATATGTAAGGTATAAAGTCAATGGCATTAGGAATAGTGTGTTTTACAGTTTCATTGCAAGGGTTTCTCACATTGAGATGTGACAGACTGCACTTGGCACAAAACCTGAACTGTAAGAAACTAAAGTAAATACTTCAGCTTTTCTTATTCTATCTTCTCACTTCTCTTGATTCATTCCCATTTCCTCCTTCTGTGTTTAATTTTATTTCAGGCTAAGGATGGCACTGTGGCTCAGTTGTTAGTGATGCTGCCTCACAGTGCCAGGGACCTGGGTTTGAGTCCAGCTTTGGGCAACTGTCAGTGTGGAGTTTACACATTCTTCCCATGTCTGTGTGGGTTTCCTCCGGGTGCTGTGGTTTCTTCCCACAGTTCAAAGATGTGCAGGTTAGATGGATTGGTGAAAAACGCTAAACATTGCCCTGTAGTGTCCAGGATGTACAGGCTAGATGGATTAGCCATAAAACCCTGTGCAGGATTACGGGGATTTGGTCTGGGATGCCCTTCAAAGGGTCAGTGCAGACTCAATGGGCCGAATGACCTCTTTCTGCACTGTAGGAATTCTATAATCCCAATCATTTCTGTTGTGTAATTTTTTGTTAAACTTTCAAATGTCTCGGCTTGCACTGCATCCTGGATCTCACCGTCCGATTTAGCAAGTGCGCTACATAAAAGAAAAGTAGGACATGGATTGGAAGAGATGTCTGCATTTGTACCCAGCCTATTCCAACCTATAATGGCATGGTCACCCTTGGACTATGTCAGGTCAGGTTTTTTTAATACTTCTGAGGCAACGAGAGTGAATGCACTGCCCATTAAAGGAATTTATCTTGTTGGCAGCTGAATTCATTTATAGACCTATATAAAATATACAGGACCAAAACAGGTCATTGGTGCAATTATAGAACATAGAACAGTACAGCACAGTACAGGCCCTTCAGCCCACGATGTTGTGCCGACCTTTTATCCTACTCTAAGCTCAAACTACCCTGCATACCCTACATTTTAATAGAATAATTAGTCTATCTCTCCACTCAAAACTCCCTCATCATTCCTCAGCTAGCTCAATTAACATAACCCTCTGTTCCCTTCTTTTTTACCAGTTTTCCCCTTTAATGCATTTGAACTACTAACTGAACAACTCCTTTGTGTTCTTTTAATTTTATCATTATTTGTGTATCAGGATATTTATCATAAATGTCTTGATAATCCTTTTAATGTCCACTATATTCCGTTTTCAACAAGTAAAAGCACCCAGACTGCTATGTAGAAAACACTGCAACAGTTCAGATTTTTTTGCGCCTGATAAGGCTTTTTTGGATCTGAGACGTTCATTTGGCAACCTACAAAAAGTTATTTAACAGATGTTCCACTGCAATGGAACAACAAATGTTATTCAGAGGTTTGTATTACTGCACCTGCTTTATAAACTCATATTGGGATTGAGTGCTGTACCAGACCAAATAGGACTGAAAACTGAAACGGTTTTCAGTTGCTCTGATTTAATCCAAACTGTCAAATGGTTTGGTCTACCTCTTTCTATTAAGGCCAAAGTGCTGTACAGTAGTCTTATAATTTAATTCTTCAGATGTACAGTTAAGAACCGCTAGTACCACTCATGATAAAACTACTAAAACTTTGTATATGAATGTTAAATTTGTGTCCATAGCTGTCAGAAGCATTTAATATTGACAAAGCTGCCCTGCACTACACTTTTATACCAATAAAATATAGAATAAGATATAGCATCCCTTTCTGACTACTTGTACGAAAAGGTTCATCTCAAGTTTCAACTGTTTCAAATTGGGTTATCATTTACTCCTTAATCATCTATTTGGCAATGTAGGTGAGCGGGAAAAATGGCTGTTAACAAAATTCTAATTATTATAACCATCATGTTTGTGTCATTCTCATTGCAGTTTTTTTTATTGATTTGTATATTCAAATAAAATGAGAGAGAAATCCTTGTTAATTCTGCATCTACATCAAAGGTTTTGCTTACCCTGGCTCTGCCACCAATCTTCACTAACATTTTATTTAGAAATACCCAGATGTGTGTACACCCACACCTGATGTGTTACAGAACTCTCCAATCATCATTTTCGTGTGTGATATTAATTCTTTTAAAGTCAGAAGGCAGCATAGTCTTTTTCATCGTTGGCCAAATCTGATGACTATGCATGACACCTTAATGACTTTATGCCCCACCAACATCTTGATAAATTTTAGTTTATTGTGCTTTATGAATTCTCATTCTTTTCATTGTTTAAACTGTGCATACAACTAGAAATTTTCTCTATCCCATGAGGGAGGGCAAACCATCTCTGAAGGCATGTGTTTAGATTTTCACAGTTGCTGAGTTTCCCACAGTTCAGCTGACTTTCAGCATTATTTGAAGAGGATTACATTGAACATACAACACAACAGCAGGCCATTCAGCCCAACCTGTCCATGCTGGTGTTTATTTTCTACTCCCCCTTCTCCTATTGCTTTTCATCTAAATACACTATAATTACCAGCTATTTCCTTCTCTCTCATGTTCGTCTAACTTTCCTTCGATTGCTGATGGTAGTGATTTCCACATTCGTATCGTTCTTTTGGTGAAAAATGTCTCTTCTGAATTCCCTATTGGATTTCTTGCTGACCATCTCATTTTGATGGCTTCTAGTCATGCTCCTCCCACAAGAGGAAACATTCTGCCAAAATCTTTCATAATTTTAAAGACATCTATTAGGCTACTCGTCAGCTTTCTTTCTTCAAGTGAAAAGAGATCCAACTACTTGTTTGTGACAGCTGCTACTTCAGAGTTTGGGAGAGATGTGTTTCTTGTATTGGCGATGATTGGTTCATTAATCTGGTGTCTTCAATTTTAGCAAATCAAGCCTGTCAAGGCCTGATCCAGGGCTGACAGAGATTAAAACACTGTGGGTGCAGGGGCTGCAGTGGTTCAAGAAGGCAGCTCAACACTATCATCTGAGGGGCAGTTAAGGATGAGCCGTAAATGGTGGCCTTGCCAGCAAAGCTCGCATCCTGAGATTAAACATGTATATCTGAATTAATCCTTAACCCTCTGGACAGAAACCATGACCACCAGAATGTCAAAGGTTGTTGGCCCAGCCCACTGCAAATTAGAATTCTTTTGTTTAGAACAAGTTCAGAACTCCCCAGCTCTGAGAAAGCCTACAAGAATTTTTGAGACATGACTTCATAGGAGATACAGAAACCCCAGTGGAAGTGTTGTCAAAATCAATGGCAAAGGTGCAGTGCAGACACAGGTGGCCTTCCAGTCTGGTGTTCATTGATTATGTGCTCAGCATGTTATTGAAATACAGGCTAAATAAATAACAGCCCAGAAATTGGGAGATTACTTTGTCTCCATTGTGTAACTCTCAATTTCGGTAAAGGCAGACTATCCAATCTTTAGAACATGTGCAATAGCCTTGGACAAGGAATACAACATGATAATGGCACTGAGCTTCGATACTAGCATGTGTCCAATATACTCAAGGTTCACACATGGGCAAGAGTCATCAATAAGGAACCTTATTAAAGATACCTTCATTTTTATGTTATAGAAATGTTGCTGGTATAGAAAATTTCTCTCCTAACCCATGAAAGATTTCCAAGCAGACATCAACCTAATTTTAACATCAATCTAATTTCAACACTGAATGTTAGAAAGATCTCACTAATGCACTGGAGGCTAGTGTACCAGCTGCAAGATGGTCAATCAATTGCAGGAAGTCAATAAATGGAAAGTTTCTATTTCTCAGCATTGGAAAATGGCATGAAGAAAGTCATCAGGCCTCCTTCAGAAACATGAGCCACGACTGCACTTGTTTAAAAAGGGTATGAGGCAAATGGTTATACTCCAATCTGTCTGATATCAGTAGTGGGCAATTTATTAAAATGAACTGTAAGAGACAAAAATAAACTGTCACTTAGAAAGGCAAGGATTAATCAGGATAGTCAGTTTTATTAAGAAAATGTTATTTCTTAACGTAATGTCCTGCTGGATCTGTATAAAGTGTCATTTAGACCACAGCTGAAAACTTATGTACAGTTGTAGTCATTGCGTTAGAGGAAGAACATTATTGATATTGTTGCAATTCAAGTTAAAATGAATTTCAAAGTCTTACGCTAGTACAGAGGAGACTTACAAGAATGTTGCCAGGGTTTGAGAATTGC